CTTAAAAATCTATTGTTGCTAAAGCTTACATTCCTACCTCGGGCGGTGCTCGTCCAAGGTGCTGCCACTCTACCACACAACCACCCTCAGGCGGTGCTCGTCCAAGGTGCTGCCACTCTACCACACAACCACCCTCAGGCGGTGCTCGTCCAAGGTGCTGCCACTCTACCACCCTCAGGCGGTGCTCGTCCAAGGTGCTGCCACTCTACCACACAACCACCCTCAGGCGGTGCTCGTCCAAGGTGCTGCCACTACCACACAACCACCCTCAGGCGGTGCTCGTCCAAGGTGCTGCCACTCTACCACCCTCAGGCGGTGCTCGTCCAAGGTGCTGCCATGTGTGATGTGTCATTTACAGAGGGGGAATCATTTACAAAGGGGAAATCATTTACAGAGGGGAATAACTTATAGGGGGTAGGGAATCATTAACAGAGGGGGAACCATTTACGGAGGGGGGTATCATTTACAGAGAAGGAATCATTTACATATGGGGGAATCATTTACAGAGGTGGAATCATTTACAGAGGTGGAATCATTTACAGAGGTGGAATCATTTACAGAGGTGGAATCATTTACAGAGGTGGAATCATTTGTAGTGGGTGAATCATTTAAAGAGGGGGGAATCATTGACACGGGATTCATTTACGAAAGGGGGGAATCATTGATAGAGATGGAATCATTTACAGAGGGTGAATAATTTACAGAAGGGAAATCGCCAATACGATCTGAATTACACTCGGCTAGCATAACCACAACATGTTACAACTTTTCATAAATTTGACCCTAATTAAAGGGAAAATTCCATCATTATCCGCTTCTCAAAGACAAAACCCCAGTGGATAATACCTTAAAAAACTCTGTGTAAGAAACCTGGAGTGTACAGTGCACAAAAGGTGTGACGAATACACTTGTTAGAACCTGAATTTTACAAATAAATTTTGAGGCTTTTGGGAGTAACAAAATTAAATTAAATAAGACTCAGTAATTAAGGACGACTAAACTGATGAATAGTGAATAGTGATGGAGAAATTATATTTAGTGGTTAAGTCACAACGTCAAACAATTCTTAGAAAACGATAATTATAACCACACGAATCATGATTTATTTTAATCAGCATCCTCTGAATAATGAATAACATAGGTCGACTTCGAACAGCCTATGTCCATCCCGTACCCCAGGTTATCACACCTGCAAAGTTGGGTGAGGCTAGCCCCAAGCATCTGGCCTCGAACCATTAGACAGACAAATAGATAATCTGTCTATTTGTAGATATTAAGAGGAGCAGTGTGTGTGTCATCAAGAAGATGTGTTACACATCAAGAAGTCAACACCAGCAATCAACAGCCAATTATTGCACAACTATATTCTACCCACCTCAAGACTCCGCTCCAATATAGAAGCATCAAGAAATATGGACCAATAGGCTTTCTACAAACACTTCTATTCAATATCCATTGTTTCGTGTTCTGTCTTGTGTTGATGAAATTAATACCCTATTAATACTCTTGTTCTGTCTTGTGATAATGCCACATCACCCCTTCCACCTCACTCAAATGTAGATATAAAATCGGAGATGCGTAAGTTCTATTCAGTTGTGTATTTGTGAACTAAAGTCTTTGAAAAATGTAATAAGTTTACGAAACGCGCTCGTGTCGCGTCAGACTAGAAATAAAAATGAATTTTGGAGAATTGATTTTTGATTTACCTCCAACAGTGAAGCGAAATGTACGAAAGATTGAGAAAATTCGCGTTAGAATTATTAATCTTACTTTTTCGGTCATATTTAATAATATATATATATATATAATATATATATATATATATATATATATATATGGTTTAAATAGAGAGTAGTGAACGGCAGGTTGGAAGACGATTAGAAAATGTAAATTTTTTGTGTCTCAGATTACGTTTAAAAGGGAAATGGGATGTTAACGTTATTCTATATTATCTGTCTGGTCGACCAGCCCGTTGACCAGACGGTGTGGTTTACCAGCAGTAACTATGCCACACATGGAGGGGACACGAGGTGCACCTGTTCAGAGCAGTAGTGGCATCCTCACAGTGGCTGCAACACAGGTCGCAATTTGTCGGGGTTTAAATTACACGAGAAAGTTATACCCTCGCACAACCATAGCCTGTACCTTCCCACAACCATAGCCTATACCCTCCCACAACCATAGCCTGTACCCTCCCACAACCATAGCCTGTACCCTCCCACAACCATAGCCTATACCCTCCCACAACCATAGCCTATACCCTCCCACAACCATA